TTAGACAGTTCACCATCAAAAACCAATCAACAAATTTAATCAACAATAAAATTACAGAAAGATTAACAGTTTCAGAGCAGATAATCTGAATGCATCATTTTTTGCCGAGAACAATCTAAAAAAATTAATTTCTTTTTCAAATGCTCACAAAAATAGCATTAATACACTCGTTTTTTTTCTGTTGAAAAAATCAGCCAGATTTCATCGTTGAGCTCCAAATTACTCCAATAGTCACTACTCAAGTATGTTTGCTTCAAATTACTGCTATCCAAAGCAGTTCTGCAAATGGATAGAATTGTCCTTTCAACAAAGATTCTATTTTGTAAGCAATAACAATTTAAAATTTTCATTTATTTTCAATTACAATGTATTCCCTGTTTTCCTTTTCTTTTACTGCTAATCAATTTAGAAGTAACTACAAGCAAAATAATAAACCATATAAACGTTCATTCTTCTTTCAGTTCACTGGTAACAGACGATACATATGTCCATCATTTCCCCGTTTTTTATATATGCGTCTTTTTCACTAATACTTCTCCCTTTGCCATGATATTATGCATTTTTACACACCAATTTTGATAAAACATCACTGCAGAGCTGCCGGACGCCTAAACAACTCCAAGATGTAAAAAAAAAATTTGTCGAACAAAACGTCAAGATATGCTTGCTTGCTTGCTTATCAAATGGTTTCATGAACAGATGCTTAATTGAAAAACACTCGACATCAACAAATTCACTATAGTTGAATGCTTTTTTCTTAAACAATTTACTTTTGCCTGCTCCGACAACGCTCTTAACAATTCTGTATCAACAAATAACTCTGCAAAAGGTGCGTTTACTGAGGTACACTGTCAAACAGCGTTAGTATACTCACTTTGTGACATTGATTTTCAACCGCGATTGATTACAGAAACCCCAGATATGAATTAATTACGCTTAATGATAGATTAAAATAATGCTCAGCTCAAAAAAAAAAAAAACACGTCCAAAACACGTTTTTTACATTCGCAACTTATAAAACAGATCATCCAAAAAGCCCAAAAGGGTACTGTGAAAGTCAGTTTTCAACTGCTCAAAAAAACACTATCCAACTGTTGAGGAAAAATAGTGGGAAACCCTACGACCTCTTTGCCTACTGTGAAGTTCTCGTTAAAAACCAACGCATAGTCCGATATTGAAGATGAAACAGCAGAGGAATACAGATTTAACTGACCTTATAGATTCTTTGAAATCACTGTTTACCTTCTTCGTTGTATAAAACAACCTAAAGGTGGACAAACTAATTGGTTGACTTCCTTAACTGACTCCATTTCTATTTCTTAATGAAAGAGACAGGCTACGTCAGTGTATGCAACATTCAGAGCTCAGGTTTAATTCATCAAACTAAAAAACTTAAGAAAATTAAAGCAATCTTGGTGCTGAAAACGTCATTTCCACCGCGATTAAATCTTATGGCAGACGCGAGGAATGACACACACGTATGCAAAAAAAAAAACTAATGAAAAATTTTCAGTCCAAGCGACACGACTGAACTGTCAATAGTTTGCCCTTTAAAAAACTGTATTTGCTACTGCAAAAAACCCAGGTGTCAACCATACTCTCACGTCAGCTCTGTTTCAATTTGATAGCCTCGACACTTCCACCGGTTGTAATGAAACAAAGACATACTTATTACAGCTACTGTTCGTTGACTTCATTGACTAAAAAAAATGCAGCCACAAAATTAAAAAACCTCTATTACTTCTAAGCAGAATTTCCCCCAAAAAATGAAGTTAAATAAAGCCCTTACTTAATTTATCGCCAAGTCCAACCATAAGTAACGACTACTCCTAACCCACAACAAAAACGCTCTCCCATTTCCTCTCTGTTAAAAAAATAAAACCCCGCTTACAACCGAAAAGACAGGATATATCCGCGATTTCTGTGAGAACTTAGGTAACTAATCTTCATCCTGACTCACTCCTACGCAAACGTTCATACAGGCACAAAGAAATACAACTTATTTAAACAAAAAAAAAATTTAGTGTCAACCAAAAGAGAACCACCAAAACGCCAAAACAACGGCTAGAAAAGAACCTAAACCTCAACAAAATGATAGTCTGCCAACAAATAAGCACGGTAGATGTAAATACAAAAGTGACTGCCCAACTAACTCACTTTCGGTACTTAATACACACCAAGCTTACTAGAGTGAGAAATCATTGTTCTCCCCACAATACAACCATTAATTACAGTGTAGAACGTAAAAAACATATTATAAGTGAAAAAACATACTAAGCGGGAATCACTTATAACATTTTTACCCCAACAAACACAAGTTTCTTTAACACAACAATTCGCAAACCTGGACCTTCATAAGACAATGACGTCATCATCTCTCAACACTATTACAACTCAAACCTTTTGTAACCGAATTCAAAAGAACTCGCAGAATACTACAGAATAAGAAGTAATAATCAAACGCTATAAATTCGCTACGTGCTTTTATGGAATAAAGGAAATATTCACTAAATGTAAAATTCTGTTTAAACACCGATAAATTCCTATTTAGGTATTTCATACATAAAATGTAAAGAAGACTGAGACCGCAACGGCAAGGTCAGCATACTACTCTAGTATCTAAATATCAAAAAAAAAAAAAATCAGTTAAAAAGCCTAAAAGTAGATCTCACAAAAAATAAACCAGAGACCGGTGAAAATCAAGAACAACGACTGTACTAGCTAACAATAAAAATGAAGTCTCCATCCGAAGCAACACATATAACGCAAGAGACCAATAACAAGAATAAATCATGATCTTCCCACTGACAAACTTGCTTTGGTCCTTGATAAAAAAAAAGCCACTTTAAGACAACAATAAACAAACAATTTCTTTTAAAGCTCAATGCTCAAAATAAAACTCTTTCAGAAATAATATAATATAAGGGCTCAAAAAAAGTTATATAGACAGCTATACAAGGTAGGATGTATAGAAACTGAAAAGAAAACAGAAAAAAATAAAAAAAATGATGTAACTTTATAAAAGCATAGTATGTGGCTTCTCGATAAAATCTTTAAAATGTTTCAACCACTGTGCCCCAACCGCGCCATCGACAACACGGTGATCACACGACAGAGTAACATGCATGGTCGTTACCGTTTTAAAACTAAAAGCAAAACCGTTAACAGTGAGTAGAGCTCCTACATTTAGCAAAAAGTTTACGCCAAAAGCTGGTAGGAGATGTACGATATATAAAATCACAAATATATCCACTGCACAAGAACAAAGCTAAGAAGATGCTAAGTAACTACTCAAAAAAACATTTTTAGTTTTCTAGCAACCAACCCGACTTCATCAGGAACGAGCTTTTTCTCGGATCCCCCAATGGCCAAGATACACGACTGAGGTGGATTTATAATAGCAGAAAAATTACTCACGCTGCCAAACATACCCAAGTTCGAGACAGTAAATGTTCCACCCTGAAAACGACAAGCAAAAATTTATCAATCCCTCCATGAATTACCAGAAACGACAAATCAAATTTTCTATGTTCAAAGACTGTGAAAAGGTATAACCTTTTGCCCGGCAAGAAATCACCCGTATAAAGACAAAAAAATTCACTATCACGTATTCCGAGTGCTTAACTAAAAAAAAAAAAACAGACCTGGAACTCGTTTGGTTGAAGCTTTCCACTCCGAGCTTTCGCAGCTAGCTCTTTTACTTCCCTGCTGATAGTAGCCAAACCCTAAAGTCTTTTTACTGAAATGATATAACGAAAAAACCAAAACTGTTTTCAGAAGTTTTTTTATGCAAAAAGACGAGACATACTAAAATTTAACAGGATAACTGTAACACAAAGTAACCATTTCAAATATTATAAAAGAATTTGTTTCATACAAAAATATACCTTGCTATGTGCGTTAAAAATGATTGGAGTTAGCAAACCGGCGTCTGTACTAACTGCCACAGACACATCAACATTTAAATTCTGTCTAATAAAACTGTCCATAAAGAAACTATTTGCTTCAGGTACACGAAGGCAAGCCAACGCAGAAGCCTTGATTATAAAATCATTTAATGTAAGTTTCTGTGGTTCTTCGCCACTGGACTTCACCAGCTTCGCGAGCAAATCGTTCAATTTTGAACGAACCCTAGAAAAGTTAACTACAAAGAAATTACGAATAGTTAAAACCACACAAATACTCAAAAATATTCTTTAAAAAACCATCCCTCTTAGCAACAATAATACTAGCACAAAGCCGCCTTTACACGCTACTGTCAAAAGAAAGGAACATAATTTACTGCAACTTACTTGAGTAGATCATCAATAATGACCTCTGAAGTCAGATAATAGTGAGGGATAGTTGTCTTACTTTCCAACAGGCGTTTCGCGATAGTACTACGCATACTGGTCAACGGTATATCGACAAATGCCATCTCTCCTCCAGCCGTAGCGCCTCCGGCAGCTCCAGCAGCTGCTACTGGCTGAGGTTTCGATTCAGAAGCAGTTGAAACATCAGCAGCAAGAATACGACCTCCAGGTCCGGAACCTGCTATAGACTAAACGCACAAAGACTAAAGAACAGGCTGCTATTAACCCTCAAAGACTACAGTTAAACTAAAACTAAATTCTATCTATAACCAATGGCGCAACATAAATAAAACTCAAGTTCTGCGATGTGTAAGTCTATAGTAAACTCGAAAATACCATAATACGTACACTGAGATCAATGCCCCTTTCCGCAGCCAGTTTTTTAGCGTATGGTGTAGCAACAACACGCCCACCTTCTGCAGGTTTTGAAACAGCTTGTGGCTGATTCGCAGCAGCTGCAGTAGGAGCTGACACTGCAGGGGCAGCAGCAGAAGCTGGTTTAGGCTCTGCCTTAGGAGCCGGGCTTTCTTTACTTGCATCATCCCCTTCTTCTGCTTTGTATTCCGCAAATGCTCCTACGTCTTCCTTGTCGTCAACTATTATGCACAAAATCTGGAACTCGTACCAATCAAAACATAAGATCAGGATACCAATTGATGAAACCCAAATAAGGTGAAAAAAAAAGAAACAATTAGTCAAAAAAAAGTTCTCACTTTTCCAATAGGAATGTCTTTGGCACCTTCTGGAATCAAAATTTTGGCCAAGTATCCCTCCTCCGGCGTTTCAAAGCCCATCGTAGCCTTATCGGTTTCAATTTCGCAAAGAAGATCGCCTTCCGCAAGCTGATCTCCTTCTTTCTTTTGCCACGAGACAATAGTTCCATGTTCCATGGTCGGCGAAAGAGCTGGTAAAGGGACCTTCTTATGCTCAGGAAGGTTACCTAAATATATGCTACAAGCACAAAATATATAACGGTCAACTACTCCGTTATGCTGTGGTAACGAACATAGTATCAATCCGTAATCTTTAAGCTAAATAAGTCATACCGTTACTGTAGAACCGGTAAAACTGCTGGGCATGAGTTCTTGCGGATAAAATTTGTCCTAGTCGCCGAGGAGAGTTTTTAAATGTCGATGAAATACGAGAAGTCGAGGAACTCCTCCTACACCGAAAAATAGAGAAAATAAAAAAATAATGAAATACCAAGAAAATCTTGAATTCTAGAAATGAGAAAAAAATCCGTAATAGAAGCTAACACAAAAACTACATCTTTTCACAAAATTTTACCCCTCATGTTTTTTTAAGAAAACATCTAGGTGAGAAGAGAAAATAAAATGAATCATAAAAATAAGAAAAAAGCTAACGTTTGGAAAGCAGACGATGAAGCCATGGCAAACGCAAACGGCGCTAATCGAAACCCGTTCCATGAGGACCGCATGGAAACAGGTATAGCACATGAAGAGAGCTTCGACATCATTACAGTTGTTATTAAAAGTGCCAAGGCTGCACTTCAACCCAAACCACAGAGCTAGTACTAAAAATAATAGTATGATTTGAAAGAACCGACAAACAACCAAACAAGCACGAACAACGCTTCAGGAAAATTACTTAAGCACTTCTGAAATTAGTGTCACTTTTAAAAAATACAATCCGCTAAAACAAAGTTGAAGAAAGACTTTGGAAATTTAAAACTCCACTTGATTACTCAAATGGCCACCTTAAACGTTTAAGGCATCACCAGAGTCAGAACCAATGTATCAAAAGATAAAAAAAAATTGAATAACGTTTGACAACACCAAAGAAAAAAAAAAAAGCAAAAAAAAATTCGTCCTTCCAACGAGTTTGATGCGTTCACTTTTTTAGCAGCAAAAAATTTGAACTGAAGAGAACTTAAGTATGAGCTAAAACAAAATTCTTGAAAAAAAAACATCCTCTTTGGCATCATTATGAAATGACGTTTGAATCTGTCACTAAATGCAGAGCCACTGCTGAAGCAGCGTCCTTTCAAAGTTTCGTTGAAGTGCTCATCTATAAGACGTTATGCAGGACAAAAAGCAAAATTTTTTCCTCCATCTAAACCGATATTTTTATCCAATTTTTAGAATTACGAGCAAAACTAATGAAGAAAAAACAAAAATTAACAGTAATTTAAAAGTTAATACAATGACAAAAAAAAGAGAAAAAATGCAGGAAAAAGAAACATAGCAACCATTCCTCCACTCCTACCTCAGCGGTGCCAAAATATGTAGAGAAAATGCATAATGTTATAGAACAACTTGGTGCATTATACGCCCCGAAATCATGAACGCAAATCGATATAAAAGCTCCGTGAAAAAACTGCTTCGCTTAGAGTCAAGCATTCGCCCATCAATCAGCAGTTTGATATAACCTCAGCAAGATCTTAAGCCGCCGTTCGCT